GGGGGGGGGGGGGGGGGGGGGGGGGGGGGGGGGGGGGGGGGGGGGGGGGGGGTAGGTTTGTTTTGCGGGGTGGATGGATGAAAGGGTCAGCAGGACGGACAGATAGGCACGTTGGTGGGGGGTACGGATTAGGATGATGATGTGGTGGCCGTCGTGGTTGGACAGATTGACAGGCACACGTGCTGTGGTGGGTGGGGGTTGCGGGTGAGGTGGTGGCAGAGGTGGTGGTCAGGGTTGTGGTTAGCCACATAGAAAATAGACAGGCACGTATTGCGGATGAGGTTGTCATTGCGACTGTTGCGATGGCAGTGGTGATGGTGATGGTTGTGTTGCCGTTGATGGCTAGTGCAATGCTGTACACACAAGTTATGTTTTAAAACGCTGAGGCCAACGTAATTTCGTTTGTCAACCGGTAAGCGCGATCGATGCCGATAATGAAGACACAACCGCTCTGACGCAAGGGTCCACAGCCACCGGTTAGTGCCTCAGCAGAACCAGAATGTCACTCTACCTCCGTCCTCCCAAGCCCTAGCTCGAAAGGAATGGTGCATAAAATCAATGCCAGAAAACAGTTCTCTCTGCGGCAAGAGGTGTGGGAGACGCTAGGCCCTAAAAAAACGTCACAACAAATCGAAAAAAAATATGTGAGGCAGAGCGTGGTATCGGTGAATTGAATGCAGCCCGTGTCTTTTCTTTACACGATCGAATCTGTGAAAATGGTGCCGGCGGGACACGGAAAATAAATCATCACTTTTGTGCACGATCGCTGATGGGCGCCTGCGGCAGTCAACTCATGCATGCCTGGAAGTGTGGGAGGAACATAGGCATACGTGACGCAAAAGGCGATCAAACACGTCCAACACCATCATCAAGGACAACACCACCACCAACAGGAACGACGACTCACATGAAAGAAGGAGGCGAATTGCTCCTTGGCCCACTGCAGGCAGTCCCCGAAGGTCTCAGGCACCTCCTCCTCCAGGTCTAGGCGGGCGTCTCGCAAAGACTGCCAGCACGAGAACGCGCCCTGTCCCCTCAGCTCCTGCATCACCACGGCCTCCTCCCCTGGAGAACCGCACGCCTTCAGCAGCCTCTCAGCGTTTCGCGGACGTGCCTTGGGAGAAAACAGTTGTGAGGGAAAAATGGGGGTTCTGTTTATAACTTGCTCACCAAAGAGAGATGGAATTTGTTATTGGGATCTTACGAAGCCATTGCTGAGGGGGGGGGGGCTTGGACAAAGGTACACAAGGAAACTAATGGAACGGGAGGGCTGGGGTGAATGGTTGGGGAGGAAAGGAGGGAGGACGCTCGAGTCTTGACCGTGCTGTCCTTTGCTTGGCATAGCCATCAGCCTTGATCGGCGAAAAGGTAGAGTTGGATCCCGAAGCATGCGAGGGGGGATGACTTGAGGGAGGCTACCATTAGAGAGGCTATGAGACAAAATGTGCTTGACTTGAGGGTATAATTGGGAGTAGGGGGGAGGTTGTAGGATAACCCAATCAGACCTTGGGGCAAGGGGCATGACTTCGGTGAGGGCACAAAGCCGAAGGTGTAGCCAATACCTGCCTCGTAGGCATAAAAAAACTGGGCGTGGCCTCAATAGACTGCGAGGATGAATGTTTACGCAAAAAAGGGTGTGCTGTTCTGTGGGCGGCTGTGAATTCCTAGCGAAGTGTTACACAACTCATGGAAGTAGCAAGGGAAGGGTTTAGGAAGTGTCGCAGAACTCACAAAAAGAATTGTGAGGGTACACGGGGAAAGCATCGGGGGAAATGCCCCTAGTTGCTGTTTGTTGGTGTTTTCTTCACATTAAGCTCGTGTCAGTTGCTAATCCCAAAATCTAGCAAAAGACTCGGTCCGTGGTCACAAAAATGCCAGAGCCATCAGAATATCTGAAGAACACACACACTATTAGCAAGAAAAGGGTTCACAAGCCCGAGGAGGTACACCTACAATCCCTGCAGCACGATTGCGTGCTCACAACTGAACTACACGCCCACACACTACAAATCGACTACAGCAGCAGCATCACCCCCCTTGTCCCGCATTTAACCAAAATGAATGTTTGTCGACTACAGCGTACTGCTGTCTGAAGTGCTGTCTGTACAATAATAACACCATGGTGCATGGTACACAAGCTCGGGGCATGCAGCTGCTGTCTGA